AAAAAAAAAAAAAAAAAAATCCTCAGTGGAAACCTTGGGGAAGAATTCAGGGGAAAAAGACTTCCTTGGTACAGTGATTCCTCGGTACTTGTCATCAATTGGTTCTAGGGGGAATGATAAGTATAAGACAAACATTTTTTTGTCAAAATGCATCAAGCACCACCCTGGATGACCTCCAGTGCAGTTAGGTACCCAGGCGTAACTGTGCATATGTACTAGAGCACACATTTCCAAGTTGCAAGCGCAGCAATTAATACTAAAGTTGCAAATGAAATCTCAAGGAGCACTAGTATCTTTTCTTTTTTTTTTTTTTTTTTGGTGGAACTGGAGATTGAACTCAGACCCTTGTGCTTGCCAGGGAGGCGCTTATTCCACTGAGCCATCTCCCCAGACCCCAGAAGGATTTTTGGGTTTTTTGGCTCTGAATGCCTTCAGGGCAGGTTTGGCTGACTTGAGTTGTAGGGATCAAATCACAGCAACCTGAGCCTGACTGCTTTGTTGAAGCAGCCACTTAAAGAACTGAGCTAAGGGGCAGGTCCCCAAGCTAAGGGGCAGGCCCCCTCCCAGTATCAATACTATTACCTGTTTCCTCTTAGCCATCATTTTCTGAGACTTTTTATTTTGTGATACTAACAAACCCAGAACCTGTTCATGCCAGGCAAACTGCATGAGCTACAGTCCGCGCTGAGCTACACCGCTCACCCCTTTTTCTTTTAAGATAACATCTCAGTTGTCCAGCTTGACCTTCTGTTTGCACTTCTCTTGCCTCCGCCTCCTGAGCAGCTGAGGCTGCCAGTGTGTGCCAGTACGCTTGGCTTCTGCTCCTGTCCCATTTGGAGGGCGCTGAAGACAAGGATTTCATGGGTTCTTTTGGCGGAAGCAGGGATTGAACTTAGACCCTGGTGCTTGCTAGGGAAGCACTTTTTCTACTGAGCCATCTCCCTAGCTCTAGGACTTCGTAAAAACAATAAAAACATCTGACACATCAGTCCATTTCTGACTGTGCAGTGGCTTGTCTTTTATGTTCTCCAGAGCAAACCACACATACCAGCGTGAGCAGATGCTCACAAGCACGTCTAACCTAGTGGACAGCCGGCATCTTGGTACATACCAGTAACTTAGGTGAAGCAGGACAAGCGCAGGCCCAAAGCCTGCTAGGGCAACTTAGCAAGACCTGTCTCAAAATAAAATAAAAAGTGCTTGTAGCACCTACAATGTTTAGATGCCAATAGAATACCCATCTCTGACAGGACCGAACTGGAGAGGGGGATACAGAGGAAGGACCATTTTGTATTTGTATACACAGAATAGTTAGGATAGCTGTACGGCTGTTTTCGCTTGGTTCAGTGAGAGGAAGGATTTATTACAGTAGTGTATGGACGGGATGTCCTGGCTGCTGCTTGTGCTGTGGATGACCGCTGAGAAGTTAACAATGTGCAATGTATTGATTATTGAAAATGTACTATTAATCAGCTTGGAAAGTGTCTCACTGATATTTGTATCTCAATAAAATTTAAAAAAAAAATGCTTGTAAATCAGCTGTGGTGGAGTGCGTGCCTAACGTGCAAGGCCCTGGGTTCAGGTCCCAGCGCCACGCCGCCCCACCCCCACCCCCAATGTGCCAGGGAGCCTGAGCTGTGTTCAGAGGACCTGCCACATTTTCAAGTTAGAGCGCTGGACGGATTTTTGCTAGTTCATAAAGTTACAGCTCCAGCAGCAACAGAAACTTCATTTCTCCTCCCAAGAAAGCCACAAGCCGGGTGGGCTTTCATACGCCTGCAATCCCAGCAGTAAGGAACCTGCAGCACGAGGACTGAGCAAGCTCAAGGCCAGCCAGAACTGCTTAGGGAGGCCTAGTTTAAAAAAAACAAACCAGAAAGCCAGCCCTCCAGCCAACTCTTTGACTGTGGTGCCTGCCAGCAGGAAGTCCCACTGCAATGGACTAGACCAGTGATGACAAGCAGCTGGTTGTGGCACGCGACGCCCAGGTTCGCCACCACAGGACTAGGCTCTAGACCAAACCCCTGGCTTCGCTCCCCAGTAAGCGACTCTCCTGTATCTTGGTTCCCTTTGAACAGACTCCTATGGAACGAGAGGAGGTTCCTAGCTCACATGCTACAGTCCTGCTGGCCCAAGACTCCCATCCTGCAGCCTCTAGTGGGGTGCCACTGTCACCCGCTCTCTTACTGCCCTGGCTCTCTGCCTCCCCTGTTCCCAGGCTCTGCTCATTTCTTCACCACATCCTTCTTTTGTTCTAGTTCCTGGATCAAGTCCTGTTGTGTTGATCAAGTCTGCCCTGACCATTCACAGTGGCCTCTTGCCACCTGAGCCTTCTAGGAATGGTATTTTACTTGTGCTGGAGAACACCTTGTCCTTTCTCACATGTCTGATGTTTCTCTCCAGCTGGATGATACCTGAGTACTTGGGGAGAGCTTGGGACACCCTAGCCTTCCAAGCACAGGGTTGGACAAACGTAGTAAGAGCTCAAGAATTTACAGTTGTGACTGTACGACACCTCACAGGAAGAATATAGACCACGACAATGTCAAATTATACAGACACACATTCGCAAAGCGCATAGGTCAAACATGCTCACTGAAACCCCTGAAGACTGCAAATCCTCCAGAAAACCAACTGCTTTAGCACATCCCTGTCCCCAGGAAAACTCATGTAGATAATTTGGTCTGGACATTTGGTCAGGAATCAGTGCCCAATGCTGTCATCAAAGAGAAAGAGGTCAGCAGATGGACACCAAGTTGTCCTCCTTGGAATGGGTGAGAGCCCTACATATGAAGGCAACGAGGCGGAGTTATACTCCAAACTGTACAGATCAGCAAGGCTGGGATCATCGGGGAAGTCACAGGCAGTGTCCAGGAAGAGTCAGGCAGGGCCCACCTTGCAGTAAGAATGTTCCTCACCAACATGCACTCTTTAGGGCCTCTCCTTCCATAGCCACCTTAGGCCTTTTTTTAAAATAAATTTTTACCCCCCTTGCCCCATTATTCCTAAAAATCCATTCAAGGAAATTTTTTCAGAAATAGAAAAGACAGGGTCCATATCTCCATCTGCTGGGTTAGCCCTGGGCTCACTACACTTACAGGAAGAAAAATACAACAAACAAAAAACAAACAAACCAATCCCCAAAACAACAGAAAAATGGCCATCTCTCCTTGAAGCACTTTCTGTCTATCTGGAGAGACTCCTACTCTACCCTACTGTGTAGGAATAGCGGGGTCAGAAAGAAGAGTCACTGATTCTTCCAAAGTACCAAGGTCAGAAGCCACGCTGCAGAATGTGAGATTACCTGGAACGATGCTGTCCTTGTCACGTGGTAGGCAAATACCACTGCTGTACAGGCCTGCAACAGTAGCCTGGCCTTCCTAACTCAGTCCCTCTCCCTCTGATCACATCTGCTCACACTGCTTTGGGAGAAAACTCAGCTAACTAATGCTAACCTGGGGTACTGTTCTGGGGGGAGGAGGAGGCAGTGACAAATGGGGTGGATTGGGAAGGATAAAGGGTGAGATTGATTCCTGGGAATTGCTGCCCCACCACCATCTTGTGGACCTAGTGCCCCTGGCGGGGTGGTTATGGCTTAAGGAGACACACGGGAGCGAGCCAAGAGTCCTAAGGCATTTGTTTGGCTTTGCCAATTCCAGCCTCCTCTGGTCCGCTCCCCTTGCATTTGGACAGGAGAGAGGGACTCACCACAGGTTGAGCATTTTCAGGCAGCTACAGAGTATGTAGAGAAAAACACAGGAAGAGAGAAAGAGAGATATTAGTTCACAGAGATGAGATGGAAGCAACTCCCTGTGAGCCATGCAAACATGCAGTGCGTGTCTGTGTTTAGCTTCTTCCTGTTGAGGCAGGGTGAGGCCCCCACATTAAAGTGGAGGGGTGGGTGATAAGAGATTTGGGGGTGGGGCAGGAGGCAACAGAAGGAATGAGTGGAGCCCCCAGCATGGCCTGTCCTGGCAGCTTTTGGGAAGGCCCTTGCATGTGTGGACTCGGCCAACGTCGAGCTCCTGGAGCTCTCTGGCTCTCACACGAAGTCTTCCATGCAGTGCTGAGCTCACATCCTGTAGCCAGAGGGAGAAAGAAGTCCCTAACTTTCCCCAAGTCCACTAAGTCTGACCAAAGCAGTTAGTAGTTAGCTCTTGTTCTAGAGAGCAACAGGGTAAGAGGCTGATTCATCTCATCATTGAGGAGATGAATCAGAGGGAGGAGGGTCCTTTCTTTGGGAATAACTGCCAAAGAAGGACCTCGCTCTTACTAGTTTGCAGGAAAAGTGAGGTCCATATTTGTTATATTACAATTAAAATTCAGAAAAGTGAAAATTCTTACCGTCTTACTATAACAAAAATCAACCAAAAAGCCACCTGTCCTCACCAACCTTGCAACTGAATTTAACAAGGACAACCTTTCAACTGACCTAGGGAAACATTTTGTACACAGAACGAAAACCAAGACCTGAGGTTTCCTTCCATCTTACACAGAACAAGCTGGGCGAGAAATCTAGTGCCTAACATTTGGAAGTGAAGATATCACCCTCCCCAGTCTCCAAGCTCACTGTGATAGTCAGCAGTTCCCCTACCCTGAGAACAGGCTGCATGGACACAGGGTGTCGCAGGTGCAGACTGAGAGGAGTGGTTTGATGTCCCTTATACTTCTCTAGCTGTGACTTCTTGCTACAAACAAGACCAAGCAAGTGAACGTGTGGCTACTGCTACTTGGTCTCAGAGGGTCAAGAACAATACAAGGGCAGTGCCTGGCAGTTTCCTGGCAAGACGAGCTAGTAGCTCCCGAAATCACTAAGGGACACGGCACACCGAATGTCCTATGCTTTTGGGGAACATCTGACCAAGTGCAACTGCTCCCTCCTGATTTCTGTACCTTTCCAAAGGCCCAAACCTGGAGCTGGTGACAAGAGGCCCAGTGGGCCTTCTTCTGAATGGAAGGATTTTCCACTCTTCTGACTGTCGAGAGCTACATGACATCAGAACAGCGTACACTAGACTGCACTCTGCGTAAATGGCCCACTAGCTTACACATAGGACAAAAACGCCACACTCACACACACAATTAGTGCACACATTTACCAAAGTGAAATGAGATGAATGGGTCCAAAAAGGAAACCTGTCCAGTGCATATTGGAAGGGTGAAGTTTTGGTATTCAATATATATTCTAAGCCCAGAAATGAAGTTCTATAAAGTAATGTGACCATGAACTATGAGTCGGGCAGGCGGGAGAGTGAGGATGGCTGTCTTGCAGGAGACCCTGAGCAGTACAGTGGTTCCCTACTTTGGCTGCCTAGGAGAATTACCTGACTTTTAAACTCTTCTGAGGCTCACCCACCATTAAATTAAACCAGAATCTGAGGCCATGTATAGGCACTCATATGCTTTTTAACATGCCCAGGTGATTCCACAACACAGCCATGGTTGCGTGCCCACAGAGCGGGACCACTGTTCTGTTTACTAGGGAGGATGAGTACCATTAAAATCTTCAAAGTCCCTGAGAACAGGGAAGAAGGTGCCTGAGTAAAGATGGCCTCCTGCTGGTCCCCACACAGGTCACGAGAAGAGCACCTGATGCTGCTCTCGGGCAGGAGGCGTGCCACGGGAGACGGCCCAGGGTACCCTCAGCTTTTCATCCACTGAGTGGAGATCCTCAAGCCCTGACTCTCTAAGGAAAAGACCTCCTGAAGGCAATGCGAGCCCACCAGAGAGATGTGCAGAACAAGGGGTAGACCAGGCACAGCCACACATAATGCAACTGACAGGAAGAAGGCAGGTCTCGGCAGGCCTCTCCCTGACCTACAGGCTGGCTGGCTCTGGCTGTATTTAAGTTACTTAGTGGTTAAGAAACCACTTAGGGTGCAGTGTCACAATGGAGGAACACTGCCTGTTGCAAAGGCTAAGTTACTGGGACATCCTGAATGCTCTCAAAGGTCTCCTGTGGCAGTTAGTCGTGACGTCTCTATATCTCTGTATGTGATGGCTAATTGGAACTTAAACCTAGATCTCAGTTGGGAATGGGGAAAAAGGGAAGAAGTAGAAATGTTGCTTTTGCAGGCAAATCATTGTTTCACCTTCCACCCCAGATTCTAGGAGTTTAAACACAGACCATGCGGAGAGCACCATAGGGCCAGTGGTATGCGCAGGGCAAGACACACACATGCAAGAGAAGCGGGACGGCTGTGAGGTGACCGCCTCACCTTCTTTGGATTAACGTTTCCTTGTTTTCCTTCCCAAGACTCACTCACAGATGCAGACTGTGTTTTTGCCTGACTTATTTAGTCGGAGTCCAGAATCATTCGAGAAAAAGAGAGAGAGCAAAATGGCCGAGTCAAGGGCCAGAAATTGAATGCCACTCAGCACGACCCATAGTTTTGTCTCTGCCTCCCATAGGAGTAGAGTAAGAAGCTCCAGGGCCTCAAAAGGCTCACGGCCACTATTCACTGTAGCTCTTGTAATTCTTTTAGCTTATTTACTGTCTTCGTCTGGTGTGGTCTAGCAAAATGAGACTAGCTTTCCAGAAATCCAGCTAAAGAAGGGCAGCAGCAGCCTTCAGGTACCATGCAAGAGACAAAACAGTCAGAGGAAGAAGCTGTGGACACGAGCATGAGGAATCCAGTCTGAGATGAGCAGAACACAGAGAAGAGACATAAAAGATTTTCAACCCATGACCTGAGAACTCCCCTGAAAGGTACACGTACTTAGCTTCCTCCACTACCTCCACCTCAGCATGAGCAGCAATTGCTGCACTGGAGCGGGCTCCCGTCGGGTCATCGGCATTCAGCTCTCCATTGGTTGAGCTAACCACCTGGAAGAGAAGGACAGGCTGTGACAAGTGCCCCAGCAAGACATGCATCCTGTGGGTGCCAGGGCAGCTCACTGCAGGGACCGCCTTAGCTTAGGACTGGCCAGGCAGGACCTGGGATGTTTCTTAGATGGAGAGGTCAAATGTCCTAATTTAGGGAAGGTTCCCAGACTCTTACCATGTGAAAACACAGAATTGAAAGGCGTAATCACAGAATCACGATTCTACCTTCCATCCCGAGTGACTACTTTGTTGTCAGACACCCTGCTACACTGTATGTGTGTGAAAGTTTAATCTTCATAAAAAAATCCCCTCTGAAATAGCACCTTTTTCTTTCTTTTTGTGGATGGAAATCCTAAGCAATGACTCAAACAAGGGTTAAATTAAGGTCTATGGGCTTCCATGAGGGAAGCACATAAGAATACTTTTTTTCATGTTGCAAAATGAGTACAGTACTTATTTTAACTTAAAGTAAGTGCACAGCTGATGTCTAAAGGTAAAATCACTCTGCTCCTTTGCATATAGTGGGGAAATTCTACTCAGTTTGTTATGCTGTAAGTACAGCTCAGCAATGACAGCGTAAAGAAAAACATCTGACAGCCAGGCAGGGTGGCACACTCCTGAGGGCTCCATGACTGGGAGAGGCCCAGGAGGACCACAGGTTTTAAGCCAAGCCCTGGCAATTTTGCAAGATTCCACATCAAAAGTAAAAAAATAAAGGTCTGGGGATGTAGCTCAGGGCAAAGGCTCTGGGTCAAGCTTCAGAGCTGGGGGGGGGGGACATCTGAAAAAGGAAATAAGAACTGTGCATCAGAAAACATAAATAATCACACTTCCCTTCAGAAATGGCTTCGCGGTTCTGATCACTGAAGTTACTCAAACAATAAGACTGCCACATCCTCTCTGGTGAGAGGGAAAATGGTTAGGAAAAAACACCTTCCTTTGGAAAACCAGTCTTATTGTAACGACCTTTATTTCAGGTTCACTGTCATGCCACTTCTCAGTGATGGTCCCCGAACTGTAAGTGGAGGCTCTCACTCCTGCATCTGGTTAATGTGGCCCCGGTCAGGCTTCTCTTGCTTGTACAGCTGCTTCAGCCACCTGGTTTCATTTCCAGTACATGATTCCTGATTTATGTGGGTGCTGGGAAGTGGGAAAAGAGACCCCGCTGGACAAACCATTCTGCTGTTAAAGACCTTAGCTGAAACATGGGAGAGAACCACAGAAGAGGATAAATGATTCGAAAAGGATGTCCTTGGGTGAGTAACTTCTATTTGAGACTGTTCTGACAGGTTTTGAGAATTACACAAGAAATGTATACTCTGGGGACAGAGGATGTGCCTTCTCTGAAGGCAAAGCCTAGCCTGGGCAACTAGCGAGACCCTGTCTCAAGTAGGGCTGGAGATGTACCTCATTTTTAAAGGCCTTCAGTTCAACCTCCAACACACACACACACACCACACACACACACACACACACACACACACACACACACACACTTGTGGAAACTCAGGCAAGATAAAAAGTTGAGACAAGGTTCAGAAAAGAGAAGGGAGAACGAACCTAACACTGTGATACTACATTTGCTCCTTGTGGACACACGCTGACTGCACATCAGCATTGATGCTGCTAAGTTCATTTTGTGAGCACAAGGGTTACGGGGGGAAAAGTCACAGTAAGATTTTATATAAACAATTCAGAAACTAGTTAAGATTTATATCACATTTACTTTCAACTCTCCTCCTTCCCCCCCTTTTTTAATAGGGATATTGGCAACTGATCGCAAGGCCTCTGTGCTGTATGTGTGACAGGGTTGCACTAAGTCTTACTGAACTGGCCTCCTACAGAGCTGGGATCACATGTCTGAAACTGTACCCAGTGATGCACAATGCTTTAGCTTCTACTGACATGATGAAGCAGATGTGCCACCAGTGAGAATCACCGGCTGGCGCTGGGCCACAGCGTCTGCTCACAGTATGTCACACGTCTTATACCTTTCTCATTTCTCTGCCTTATAAATCACTACTTACCATAATCCGTGTCCTTAGGCAATCTAAGGAAGAGATTATCTGCACTTTAAGGACTAGACATCGCGTCACTGAACATCTGGTCTTCAACGACTCAAGCACAGATGGAAACCTCGCCACCACTTATCTACCCATAAACTCTAAGAGCACCTGAAACACAACTGAGGGTGGGTGGCTGCGACTCTGGGCCTCTACAGCATTCACAGAACATCTCAAGTTGAAGGTAGTCTGCCAAACCCCTGAACTGCTGTATGGATTTCCGAGGAACACACACTACTGTGACAGAAAACTAGCTTTTAGGCCTAACTCTAAAATCAACATCTTCTGTGAGTCCTGGTTTTGAATTCTGTAATATAGGCCAAGAAGCCTTGTTCTTTTTTTTTTTTTTTTTGCAGAACCGGGGATTGAACTCAGGCCCTTGTGCTTGCTAGGGAAGTGCTTATCCTACCAAGCCATCTCCCTGGCCCCAGAAACCTTGTTCTTATCTTCCTCATAAATTCAAAGATGTCTACGTAAGAGACCTGAAAAAGTGTAAAAACATAAATGTATTGAAATATTTGTGTCTGTCTGTCTGTCTGGACTGACTGATCTCACATGCTCCTCTCCCATGATTCTGCTTGCAAGCCACACTGGATGAGAACCAAATGAAATTTCCCCACAGGTCAGTACTGAACCTAAACAATGAGTTTGATTTGGTTCTCATCCAACTCAGTTTGTGATCAGAACCATAAAAAGAATTGAGTCCGGGAACTGGGGCACCGCCATACACGTGCTTGTGTATTTATGCACAGGGTCTCACTATGTTGGCCGGGCTAGTCTCAAGGTCGTGACCCAAGGCCTTCCAAGCAGCTGAAAGACAGATGCATGCTAGTATGCCCAGCCTGATTTACTATTCTAAACACAGCACTGTTGTAATTTTGCTTAATTTTTAGTATAACTTTGTTCAAAAATACGATTTTTTTTTTTTCTTTTTCAGATAGGGTCTCACTATTTAGTTCAGGATGGCCTTGAGCTCACTTTGGTAGCCTAGGCTGGTCTTCACCT